GTAGGGCAGCGCCGTCCCCCTCGGAGGGCTGCGTGAAGCAAGCAGTCCTTGAGCTTGATGAGTCCTTGCTGCATCGAGGCAGGTCTGCAAGTTGAGCCTGGAGGAGAGGAGGGGGACCAAAGGCAGGCCAGCACCCCGTGGGCACACCGGCTGTGAAAAGAGAAGCTGATCTGATGGAGGAACAAGGTTTGACCCTTTGGGTAGCTCATGCGAGCATCTGCAGTTTGGTCTGCTGGGCAGCGCTCCCGTCGAAGGGGACGTTTCACCCATGTGTGGTACAGCAGGTGCTTTTGGCACACGTGGCAGAGGCAGGAATTGCTGGGGAATGTGCCGTGGCTCTGCCAGTGCAGAAATCATCTGCTGTGGTCCTTGGGGGCCTCGAGCCATGTCCCAGAGCAACTCCGGGAGCACGTTGTTGTGTGGCTGCGATCAGAGCAGCTTTTGGTGGGGCTCACCAGTGAATACAGGGAGAGCTGCACCAGCCCTGGCTGCCGCTGCTTCCCGGGGAGCCCTCCAGCTCTGCCGGAGCTGGCTGTAACCCCGTGGGGGCAGCAGGAAGCTGTGGGAGAAGCCACCATCACCAGAGCCGTTTGGCTGAGGGTATTTCTTACAGCAGGTGCTGGTGCTCGGTGCGGGAGTGCAGCTGGGACCAGAGGTGGGTATGGGCTGCTTGGGTGCGGAAGCGAGATCGGGGACAAGTTGCTGCCCAGGAGCAGCATCATTGAGCAGAAAGCCCAAGCCCTGGTGCCGGTGGCATTGTCCTGCTCTGACCAAGGATTTACTGCTCCTGGCCTGGGATGTGTGTGCAGGGCCAGGTGCGAGGACCCTCATTATCTGCCTGCCAGGGAACACCGCGTCCTGCTTTGCAGGACCCTTGGGAACCTCAGGCATGGGAACACCGTGTGAAACTGGCACGAAAATAATTAACACGTCTTCTGCCAACCCCAGGCTGGGGCTCAGGAACGTGTCAGAGAAAGGCTCTTCTCTGCAGAGACCCCAATGTGCAGCGGTGTCCAAGGGTGGAAACGCTGCAGGGCATTTGTGGGCTGTGGCTTCCAGTGTTGAGAGGTGGAAAGTGTTTCAGCTCTTGCAATTAGGCCACCATCATCTGTTTAATGGCTTCCCTGGACCCGAGTGAAAACGGCCAAGGGGGTTTAGGAGTTTGTTCTGACTTTGTTTTGCTTTATCTGGGATCGCTTCAGCCTTGGCTTCACCTGTGCATCCAGAGCAGCCGGGCAGAGTGGTTTCCCTATGAGATGCTGGTGTGTGCCCGGGGGGCAGAGCTGGGCAGCCCAGGACCTTCTCGGGCAGAGACTGTGAAAGGTTTTATTTAGCACGAGTGAGAGCTTACGGGAGAGGCAGTAGGGTGCACTCGTGCTCCGAAGTGGTTGTCAGCCACTGGAATAGGCTGCCCAGGGAGGTGGTTGAGTCCCCATCCCTGGATGTGTTTAAGAATAGGGTGGATGATCTACTTAGCCTACTTGAGGATATGGTTTAATGGAGATTAGGGACGGTTGGACTCGATGATCTCTAAGGTCTTTTCCAACCTAGAAATCTATGAATCTATGAAAGGCAGTGACCTGCAGCCGGGGGGAGGCATGGGCTGGGGGCAGCCCCAGCACCAGGCTCCCCTCACCCCTCCTGAAGAGCAGAGGGGCTCCCTGGGGTGGCATTGCTACGGGGAGAGGAGCGGCAGCCCCACAGCTGCTGTTTGCTGCCTTTCCAACACCTCAGCTGTGTTTTACACATCCTGGATCCAACCTGGCACGTTAAACTGTGTGATCATCCACCAGCAAACGTATGCAAAAGCCTGGATGCCTTCCAGCGGAGGAGGCCTGTTTCAGGTGAGCGCGTCCTGCTCCCACGCTGTCCTTAGGCAGGTCGTTCAATGAGCCGGTGGTGTCCAGGTGGAAATACCACTCAGAAAGCTCTGACCCCCAGGTACGGGATCTCTACCTGCCTGGAACAGTCCCTGCCCTGCCTGGGGTCAGGGAGCAGGAGCAGAGGCTCCACCCTTGTCCTCATCCCCACATGGGGAGAGGTGTGTGTGTCTCTGTGCCCATGCTGAGGGTGAGCGCGTTCGCAGCCAAAGCTGCCCCGGGGGGCATCTCTGCAGTGCCAGCAGCCCCCAGTATGCAGGAGCCAGCAAAAGCCCTGAGTCTCTCTGCCCAGCACAAAAGGGGTCGGATTGCTGCTTTGCCCGTGGTGGAGGACAATAACAGTTGGCAGAATTTGGGCAGTTGCAGCGCTAGAGGTGGAGGTTGGGTGACAAGACCAGGCAGGGCCACCAGCCGTGGGGTCGAGAAGTGATCTCGGGGCTGGAAACCAAAGCTGCTGCCCAGGATCCAGTTAGAGCTCTGGGTGACCAGTTGTTGTGTGTCTGTGCCATTGCAGGACTGTTGCTCAGCCCTGCTAGGGGATGCCCTGGCTCTTGGGAAGCCTCCTGACCATCCCGCATGTGCCAAGCCCTGGGCAAGCACAGCTCGGTAGCAGACGGCGGGCCCCAGGATGTGATGGCACGTCCATCTGCCCTTGCAGCTCAGCTCCTTCCTCGGGGCCAGGAGCAGACCGGGAGTGGAGGGAGCCAAGAGCTCCGCACCTTGTCATATTCGGGCATTTTAATTAGAGGTGTGGGCCCGGGGCACGCTTTGGCTGGGGCAGCACTGGAGGGAGCCTGGCATCAGCGGTGCTGCTGCCGGCCCTGCAGCACTCCACGCCCGGGCTGGTGCAGCACATGCAAGCCCTAACGCTGGCCTGCGGGCACCAGCCTCCTGCCCCTCCAGTGCCACCGTACCGGGAGGTGCCCGGGCACACAGCCAGCCCTGTCCCACACTTTGCATGCACCGGCTGCTCTTCCTACCGATTCAGAGCGTCCTTTCCTCTTCCAGGCATGTCTTGAGCAGAGATCCTGACATGGGAAATTGCAGGGCCCCTGGCAGGATGTGCCCTGGGGGAATCTGGTCTGTGCCGGAGGGAAGCCCTGACCTGGGGGCTCTGACCAACGTGCTGCCCGGCTGCTCCCCGCAAGGCAGAACTTCTGTGGAGCTGGGACTGCTCGGATTTACTCTGCTTTAGAGGGAGGTTTGGTGTGAATGAGCCGACTTCCTCCTCTAGCCTGAAATTTGGGTCACGCAAGCCAACATAGCGGAGCGGAGAGAGATGGAGCTCATCCTTGGCTCAAGCCCAAGCAAGCTTTGATTTCCAAGGTGCAGCTGCTGATGGTTCAGAGGGTCCGTCTGAGCCGCGTTTCATTAGCGGATCGGCACGTGGAAAGAGGCGAGAGGGGTTTTTCCTCTCCCCGATCAGCTCCCACATTGCTAATGTTCCTCTCTGGCCCGCTGCTAATTTTGACGCTGCCCTAAATAGAAGCTGAGTGCATCTCATCTGCTTCACTTGGCATACAGGAAAATTGTTTCCCTTCGTTTACTGAATCCAACTTGCGGCTTTAACCCTGTCAGCTCAAGGCTCTCCCCAGCCCAGACCTCCCTTGAAGGGCTTCACGTGCCTCTGTCCCAGTAAAGGGCTCTGCTGGGGACGGCACCGTGCATGGGAGGAGCAGGGGAGGACTCCCGGTCCGCCCAGCATGGCCACCGGCAGAGCTGGGAGAGGGGCTTTGCTTCACCAGCAGCCAAGGAGATCCCTTTCTCTGCTGAAGGGCCTGCTGCTCCAGGCCAGCTCTCTCTGTGCTCTCTCCAGGGGGGTGTGCTGCTCCCAGGGGGGACCCAGTGTCCCTTCCTGGACTGGCCTTCCCCAGCCCAGTGCTGGAAGATAGCTCAGCATGGGCAGATCCAGTTGTAGGAGTTTTTGGTTGGTTTCTGTTGTATTTTTTCCCAGCATCTGATGGGACCAGCTTAGCACGCGGGGACCATTCCTGAGTCTGCCAGATGCCTCTCTTATCACCATCTAATTTGATATCCCGTTCCGAGTGGCTCCTTGGAAGGATCTGCTGTTCTTGCTTCACTGGCCGCTCCAGAGCAGGATCTGGGGTCGCTTTCCCAGCACGGGGCACGCAGCCCCTCTCTGCACTTTGGAAAGGCGGCCTCGAACGCCAGCTTGTCTGCAGCCCAGCTTAAATATATCACTGGCTCGTGCGAGGTGCTTATTTGGTCTGAAAAACTATAATTTTGGGTCATTTGCAGCCCAGTGACTGTTGCAAGTGGTGTGCTGAGGGCACAGAGCACCGAAAGAAGCGTTGGGAGTGGGGGGTGCAGTGGCCTGCAAAGGCTGAGCGCGGGCACGGCTGAGCTGGCGCTGAGCCCCAGCTGGGCACACAACGCCACTTCAGCCGTGGCGTCCGCACCGGGTCCCCTCTGTCCCCCACGCTCCTGACCACAGTCCTTCTCTGAGCCCTCCCCTTTGCCAGCCCAGAAGCTCTTCTTCCCTGCGGAGCTGTGCCAGG